TGTCGGCTCAGCCCTGCCTGCTTCTTGCTACAAAATTTGGGACTTGAAGAGGACGTGTACCTGTGAAACGCAGGCACCGCGGTGGAGACCGACGGACAGCGCGGCCTCTCATCGGCGCTGGGCAAACAAAATCTCACTTTTATTTTATTTTATTTTTTATCCTCACCCAAGGACATTTTTGTTTTTGTTTTTGTTTTGTTCAGATAGAGCGGGAGGGAGAGAGAGGAAGAGAGAGAGAGAGAAACATCAATGTGAAAGGGACACATCGAGTGGCTGCCACCCACACGACCCAACCAGGGCCGGGGACAAACTGCAACCGAGGTACATGCCCTTAGCGGGAACCGAACCCGGGCCTCTCCGGACCGCAGGCCGACGCTCTAACCGCTGAGCCAAACTGGCCAGGGCAGAAACTCACTGTTTTAAAAGGAGTTTGAACAGAAAACAATGACCAAACTTGCTATCTTTTTCCCTTAAGGATTGGTGAGGGGTTGGATTGTGGTCTCCCCCAAAAGATATGTTGGAGCCCTAACCCCGGGGGCCTCAGAATGTGACTTTATTTGTAGACAAGGGCGTTACAGAAATAATCAAGTTAAAACGAGGTCATTCGGGAGGGTTCTGGTGCAACATGACTGGTGTCCTTATAAAAGGGGAAAATTGGACACAGCGACTCAGGACCCAGGGAGACGCCACGCGGAGATGAAGGCAGAGGTGGGTGACGTTCCTACCAGCTGAGGACACAGCAGACGGCCAGTGGCCGCCAGAGGCTGGGGCAGAGACCTGGACCGTGTTAGACAGAAACAAGCAGCAAACCCAGGGCCAAGCACCCCGTGGACAGCGAAAAACAGACTCGGGTGAACCGAGACACACGGGCAGATTTTACTTGCAGATTCTCCTTTCCGTCGACGAAGGGCTCTGTGAGATGAGATTACTCTATCACCGTGTGAGAGCCTCTGGCTCACGAGTGGAGAAAATGTTTGTCCGTCACGTTCCCGGTGCATCCGAGACCCCAGGACAATAAACGCGGGCGATTCTGAGCAGTTGACGCAGGGACAAAGTCCATACAACTTTTACTTAAAAATTATGATGAAAATCTGACTTAGTTGATAAACCATCTTTTTTGTTGTTGTTGTTGTTTTTTTAGAAATACATAAGTTATTCCCTCAGCGAGGCCCACTGATGTTTAGTTTCAAGAGAAAACCTACGTCTTTCATTGAGCTGAAGGCTATTAAATGCCAAGTCCGAGGTAGAGGGTTAAGAATACCCTGGCCCTGGTTTGGCTCAGCGGTCAGCGCATCAGCCTGCAGACGGAAGGGTCTCGGGTTTGAGTCCCGGTCAGGGGCATGTACCTGGGTTTCAGGTTTGATCCCCAGATCCGTATGGGGTTGTTCAGGAGGCAACCGGTCGATGTGTCTCTCTCACATCGATGTTTCTCTCCCTCCCTCTCTTCCACTCTATCTAAAAACCAATGGGAAAATATCCTGGGGTGACGATGAACAAAACAAAAGAAGAAGAAACAAATAACCTATTCTACAAGGTCATGGCGTAAGTCCGAAGTTAATGACTAAGGCTAGCAAAGTCTCAATAATCAGAGCTGGGGTAAGGATGACTTCCCGCTGCACAGCTCTGATTAACTAGGCTAAGAGCTAGTGTGAGGGCCCTGGAGACCCCGGTGACATTCTGCGGAAAGAGACAGCTGGCTAACACCCCAGGGGGGTCAGGATGGAACCGGGGAGAACCAGAACCTTCCAACATCATGCTCAAGAGCCCAGAGACCCATCGTCTCTGGCTCCACCTGGTGTCACATCCCAACCGAACAGCACACTAGTCCTTACGGCCAGACCACTGACTGTGGGCACAGTGAAGGCGGTCAGTCTCCAAAGACGCCCGGGGCTTCCTCCAACAGGGACCTAATATTCTCCCCCTTCTAAAGCTACAAGAACCAGGCATCCTGGAACCCAGAATAGGAGCAGTTCACCGACGACCCAGGTCAGAGATGCTGGTGAGCACGTGAGGCTGGGCTGTTTGGCGTCCACCTCTGGGCCGGCCGCAGAGAGACCCCGAAGGGGAGGATGGCCATGTTCCTGATGCAATGTGACTCTTTGGATTTCCCACTTGGAACGGCAGCCTCGTATACGGACGTTTTATTGTCCACGAGACAAGTATCCTATTAAGTGACAGGCACCTAGCAGTTGGAGTGTTCGTTGATACAAACATATATTTTACGATTGTCTTCTGGATGAAACGTTGAATCCGTTCGTAGAAACGAAGCATCCTAGCTGCCTTGGAAATGCCCAGGAAAGGGTGTGATCAGCAAGGATCCGAGGGGAGAGATCCCTGTGCTGTTACAATTACACAGGAATCACCTGTTGAAACACCTGTCTGGAAAACGCCGCACAACCCTCGTGGCCAGATAAAAACCTTCCCAAAATCCCGCAGTAAAAAAACCAAATACAAAAAAAACCCAAAAACATATTTAACTTTGTTTGTCTGGAGTTCTCAAATTTATCTGAATGCAAAACATTTTTTTATTGTTTTAATACCCAGGGATAATTGTACAGACTCCAAAGACAGACTTAGAAGTTCTGGGGTCCTCCCTTCCCCCAGAACCAGTCCCAGACCAACCCCCTTTTCCTGGGGATGTCTGTGTTTTAGTTGATCTGATTAGGACGTTGATCTGAACATGAATCCCAGCTGTTCCTTCCGAATCCCAAGCCTTTTCTGCTCTATTTCCCCCCCAGCCGAACAGGACACTTGGGTGGTCATTTACATGATCACTGCTCAGGACTTGAAAACTATGAAGAGTTATTTCTTTATATATATATATATATATATATATATATATATATATATATATATATATATAATTCGTTTTTTTAATCCTCACCTGAGGTTATGTTTTTATTGATTTTTAGAGAGAGAGGAAGGGAGAGAGAGAGAAAAAAACATGGATTGGTTGCCTCCTGTACGTGCCCTGATCGGGGATTGAACCTACAACCTAGGTATGTGCCCTGACTGGGAATCGAACCCACAACCTTCGGTGTACAGGATAACACTCCAGCCAACCTAGCCACCCAGTCAGGGCGAGAGTTACGTCTTGATTCAGGTTAAAAGTACCTGTTGCTGCAGATTTTCATTTTTACACAGCACACATCCTCAGTACTTCGATCACGCTGTCACTCGCTAAATCCTCTCCAGACTTCTTACATCTCCCCTCAGGTGGGAAAAACCACACCGTGTTCCTCCGGGGGCCGACGCCCGCCGTCTAGCGAGAAGGCTCCGTTCCCAGCCGGGGTTCTATGGCGAAGCCGCATGTTTAGCCGAACAGTCTTTCCCCGAACGGTCCTCAGCGGTAATGAGGTCCCAGGGGGCTCGTTCGGACGCGACTTGGAGAGGAGGAAGGAGAACCCCCAGATTCCCGGATCAGATCACCAGGCTCCGTCCGCAAGGGCAGGTGTGGGACTCTGCCACCGGACGTCGGAGAACAAACATAAAACTGGGTTTTGAAGGCGTCTCTCCGGGGCGCTCATTACCCAACCAGGTCACTCACCCTGCCGTTGGGGCGCTCCCATTAGCAGAAGGTCCTCGAGGGGGACGACCGGACACCCGTCTATGATGTTCCCACTCAGGTGGTGGCTGTGTCCGTCCCCCCGAGCACCCGAGAACTAACCTGTCATCTATCCCTACGAAGTTCTTTCAAACACCCGTTGAGTTGTTTTTCTCTTACATTCAGGTGTGGATGTCACATTTTTGGTAGTTTCCAAGGGTGATGGAAGGAGATGAAATGCTCTGTCATCCACACACACCAGGTCTGTGCGCTCGGAGCTCGAAGAGGCGAGTACGGGGCCCGGTGTGGGGTCGGCAGGACCCCAGGGCTACCCAGTGCCTTTCAGTCTATCTTCATTCACGTCCTCCAGTCAGGCAGACAGAGGTGACCAAAGAATTTGCGTGGAGGAAATAAAACACCTTTATATAATGGACGTAAACAACAGCAGCAACCCAGAACGTGGGAAACTGCAGACAGAGAACAGACCTGCACCGAGAGCAGTAACATCGGAGTGTCCAATAAATAGCCCAGGTGTCGCTTTGAAAAGAAGTTCTGAAACACCCTCGAATCGGACTTGCATCTCCGGGTGCTGGGAAGGGATGGAAGCCAACAAGCTCGCCCATGGGGGGCCTGGGGACGGAGCTGACACTCACCCGGGGCTGTTCCGACCTGAACACCCGAATCCCGGTGCAGGGGCCTGCCTGTCACACGGACGCGGCAGGAGCCCTGCTCAGAGGGGTCTCCGGAGGACGATCAAGGTGGTGGAAGTCCACATTCTGCTTGCCAGGAAATAAAGTTCCACGAACACACCTTTCTACAGCCGCTAATCTCTTACCCGCGGAACATCTGCCTCACGGATACAAACACATCTCACCTTCTGGCTCCTCATGTGAAATGAAAGAGCCGAAATTAATTGGAAAATATGACGATGTTAAAGGAAAAGAGAAAGGGAGCAAGGAAGAGCTAGTGAGCTGCCCCCAAGCCTGGGATGAGATTTTACGGGCAATTTTGGAGACGTTTTACGGGAGGCTCGTGGATGAAGTGCTCAAAACAGGGATGACACAGGAGGAAAGGGGTCGTGCGACTTATTTCTAGAAGACTGTGATGGCGAGGCGCTAGGGAGCATTTTATTTCGGGTTGGGGAAAACTGCTCACTGCTTTTAGTTCTGGGGATGAAATTGATGGTAGGATTAAGGACATGCAAAACATCAATTGCACAACAGGTTAAGATAAATCTCTACCAAAAGACAACTTCTCACCACCTCTTCAAGAAAATCCTTTAAAATAGACCCTATAAAGAGTGATTTTTCCCCCCATCAAAGGCATTTTCATCCCTTTCTCCTAGGTGGCAGTGTGGCTCAAAGATCGCTAAGCATGAAGATTCAAGGAAAAATACTTCACAAGGCATCAGACTAGAGAAACAATTCTTTGACAGGCAGAAAAACGCAGTACTCACGGGCTCCACGTTATAGGAGAAAAGTGCATATTCTTTATCTGGAGATATTTCGTATCTGATGGCTCGCAAAGATCCCTAAAAGAGAAAAGAATGGAGGGTTTTAAAGCGTCACATAAAACATAACTCGGAATCTTGGAGGGATGCTCTGCCGGCTAGAAGACTCGCCGACCAAAGGAGTATGCGGCCACCTTGCTAATGTCTGTGCTGGTGTGGGTCAGTGGTTAGAGCGTCGGCCCGTGCACCAAAGGGTCTCGGGTTTGATTCCCAGTCAAAGGCATTTACCTGGATTGCAGGTTTGATCCTCAGCCCTGATTGGGCAATGCGGGAGGCAGCCAATCGATGCGTCTCTCTCACATCAATGTTTCTCTCTGTCTCTCCTTCTCTCCTCCTCCCTCCCTCCCACTCTCGCTAAAATGCAATAAAAAAAATATCCTCAGGTGAGGACTAACAACAACAAAAAAATGGCTATGACCTTTGGTTAACTTCATCCTAGTCAGTGAATTGATGCGTTCCCCCATTTTATTTGTATGTTTTCCAATGTCAACAAAATAACACTTACTGCATCTACTGAAACAAACCAATAGAAATAAACATGAAAACCAAAAACCTTCTCCCACAAGACTCCCAAGCTCCCTCTGCCTCTAGCTCCTCTTCCTTTGCTCGTTCTCACTCTGCGAAGCATACAGTGCGCAGACCTCCCCTCGACTAGTCACCTCTACACACTGGTGTGTAACTTGCTCCTTCACCATCACGGACCGACCGCGATCTGCCAGTCAGTGTGTAGAGGACTCTCATGTTTTTCATGCTGCATAGGTAATTTTTCAGAAATAACTTAATGAAAAGTGCTGTTTCCCTCCAACTTGCAGATGCCCGCACCTGCCTGAAAGAGACCTGAGTTGTCAGCCTGGTGTGTATCCCTCGATACAGGGTCTCACAAGCAAACAAGGATGTGTGACCACAGCTGAAAACGACATCAGCCCCACATCTCACTGTAGTTTTCTTTCTCACGCAACAAAAATGGAGCATGACTTTAAAGCAACTGCTTTAGCTTGAATTAATGATCTTTAAAGCTTGCCAAACAGGCTGTGGTGTGGCTATATCTTCATTTATTCACTCAGCCTGTGCCAAAGGGTAGTTACAGAAGATCCTTGCTATTCATGGCAGTTATGATCTAGAAAGTCTCCAAAAATACTGAGTTAGTGAGTAGCGTTCCTAAGGGAAATTCAGGGCTAGGTTCCTAGGAGCCTCTGGTCACCATATTTTTGTCAACCAATTAACATATAACCTTGTCTGCTGTGTGCTTCTGTTTAAAGACTTCTCGTTGAATCTATATTGTCGATTCATGGACGTGCCCTCACGGTGAGCAGCACTGTGCTGCATGCCTAGGCAAAGCTCATCTATCTAACACATGATAAGGCACAGCACAGCCTTCTCACGCTTTGGACAACACTGAGCATTATTTCTGGGGGCCATCTTAAACTGCATAATTACCAACAAAAAAGCCCACAAAAATGTGAAAAACAGGGTACCATGTAGACTCCCCCCCCCCCCAAAGACTTGTTTGCAGTATGAGGGCTGGAACCAGAAGGCAGCAGACAACTCAAATTGTGCCACTCTGCACATGTCCAAGAACGACTGCAAAAGCACCGTGAGTATTAATGTGGGGTCACCAATAAGTTCTAGCACACAGATGAATTAGCAAATGCCGAAGCTGTCAGTAGTGAGGATTGACTGTGATATGCTCCCAGTCTGCTGTTACTATACATAATGTTGCATTAAAGACCCTCACCCATGTATCTTTACTGTGTGTGTATGTATGTGTGCTTACTTTTTCATAGAATAGGTATCTACGGGCGGGGTTGCTGATGTATTGCGTGGCCAAGGAATTCTCTTAAGATTTTTTTTTTTTTATCCTCACCCGAGGACATTTTTTGTTCAGGTAGAGTGGGAGGGAGAGCGAGGAAGAGAGAGAGAGAGAGAGAAACATCGATGTGAAAGGGACACATCAAGTGGCTGCCACCCGCACGACCGACCAGGGCCGGGGACAAACTGCAACCGAGGTACATGCCTTTAGCGGGACCTGAACCTGGGTCTCTCGGGACCGCAGGCCGATGCTCTAACCGCTGAGCCAAACCGGCCAGGGCAGATTTTAAAGTTCTTAATTTTTTTAAAAGATATTTTTGATGTATATAAAAGTCTAAACTGACAATTTTTTTTCCTCCTAGAATCTTAAAGACGTCATTCCACTGTCTTCTAGGCTGCAGTGTTTGCTGAGGAGTCTGCTGTCTTTCTTATGTTTGCTTTTCTGCGGCTATTCAAGTGTATTTTTCACTGTTTTCCAAAACTTGATGGTAATATGCTTTTGTGTGTGTGTGTTTCTGTTATTATGGTTGGGGTTTGAATTCTTGTATCAAATTTGGTAAAAATCCAGTCATCATTCTTCAAATGTTTCTTTTGCCTTCTTTTCTCTCTTCTCTTTCTGGGACTTTAATAACAAGTGTATTAGTATGCTTTATATTGTCCACTAAGTCATTGAGGCTTGGTTCAAGTTTTTTCCCCATAAAATGTATTTTTTCCTCTGTTTTTTTGTTTGTTTGTTTCATCTTGTTTAAAATTTTTAGGCAGTTTGTATTGTTATTAAAGTGCTTTTCTTCTGTGGTGTCTAATCTGCTGTTAATCTTGCCTTTTAAAATTTTCTATCGTATCTTTCATCTCCAGAAATTTTACTTGGGTGTTTTACAATCCTCAACTTTTTTTTCCCACTGTGTTCAGATTTCCTTCATGTGTTTGAGCATTTGGAACATACACTATGTACGTTAGCAGTCTCAATGCATTTTTTTGCTAATCCTATTATTTCAGTCATTTGTGGGTTTGCATCTATTGACTGATTTCTAGCCTCATTACAGGTCACATTTCCCTGCTTCTGCATAAGGTGGAAAAACAAAACAAAACTAATGCCAGATATTTTTAATTTTCTCTCATTGAATCTTGGATTTCTTGGTGTTCCTTCAAATAAAGTTGGACTGTCTATGACAGGAAGTTAATTACTTGTGGATTAATTGGATTCTTTCAAAGTTTGTTTTAAAGATATTTTAAAAAGAGGCGATTCTTCCATAGCCATGATTTTCGAGGGAACTGGGCCTCACTTGTAAGGGGTGGCTTTGCTGAAGTCTCCACTTAATGTCTCATGGCTCAGAGAAACTCAGATGATTCCTGTGATTTGTGAACCCTGGAGATTCTTCCTGTTACAGGATCCTGTAAACATTCTTTACCCGGAACTGTATTTGGTCATGCCTCGTGGTTTTCACTCTTTATAGATATAAAGACCAACAATCAACCAAAGTCTCAAAGGAGCCCTATGCAATTTCTCTAACTTCCTCCTCTTGTATACGGTGTCTCATACATTGTAGCCATCTGTTTCTCCTTTGAAATCTGAAATGCCCCTTTAACTCAGCAAAACTGAAAGACTTGCGTTTTCTTCCTTGTGCTGAAGTTCAGCCAAGACCTGCAAGTAGAAAGCTCAGGTGATACCTGGAGTCATTTAGTTTATTCTCCTTTTTTCCAGGGATCACAAGTATGACCTAATTGGCTGGTTTGCAATCTATGAAAACTGCCCCCCCCCCCATATTTTGTTCTGTATAATTATTGTGTGTGTAAGAAGGATAATTATGATCATCTTATACTCTCATGACCAGGACCGAATGTCACAAAGAGAATTATAATTTTTGTCATGTCTGCGTTCCTAGTGCCCAGCAGCGCCTGGAACATCATAGAGGCTCCATAAATGTTTGCTGAAGAAAGGAATGAACAGGTCCTCTGTTGTTACAAGAATGTCAATAACGGTATTGATATAAAGAGAAGACCAACAGAAACCAGCAAAGAGTGCCACTTTCTGTCCTTAGAAATCATTACAAGTCACTTTCCTGGGTGGAGGGTCAACCGCTAATGATGCCACCTGAGACCGTGGGCATTTCACTGGGCCCCTTAAGCAGGTTGTCCTAAAATTCCTCCACAGCACAATCAGGCTCATCACTTCTCCCTCGAGTCTGGGATGTGTCTACTGATACTGTCATGATGGCCCTCTCTGTGAGGAGGCAGAATTCATGAATTTTTAGAGACTGGGGTGAAAATTCAAATTCTGCAGTCTAGTGATTAAGTAAAATCAAAGGGGGAACAAGGGAGAAACCAAAAGACTTTATTTAAATGTTAATTTAGTCATTTAAATATGTAATTAAAACAAGTAGATTAGTAATTATAACAAGTACAGACATGAAGAGAGAGGAAAACTCACATAAGCCTAACAACAGGAGGCTTTAAAAAAAAAATGTACTCGTTTTCCCTTCTAAGTATTTCTACAAACTGTCTACAGCTCTTACATATTCGTCCCTGGAGGAAGTCTAATCTCTTTGAAATGCGAGGCTGAATTTTTTAAGATGTGATTAAAAAGATTGAATAAGTGGCATTGAAACAGCCATTATGGAAATCACCACGCTGGAAAATAATATTCAGAATTTCACCACCCACCAAGATGAGCTCTTTTCACAGTTCAGTGTTCACTTTGTAGCCTTTTCAATACACACAGATGAAATTTACAGTTGCTAATTAAAGTGTAAGTATCACATGGTCCTCTTCTGTGTTCATCTAACATAACATCGTAACTATAACTATTGTTCATACTACTGCATAGCCTTCATAAGTCTTATTTTCAGCTACATTGTATGTCATCTATTTTTATTCATCTTATTTCTCTAGATTCAGGGTTTTTTGGTGTGTCTTATTTTACCTTTTAGATTATTTACTTATAAAAATTCCCTGGAATGGGTCAAAAGGCACACATATTCATATTCATCATGAACAACTCCACAGGTGCTTTCTGAACACCCCAACACTTTAAATGATACAATGAACGACAGATTTTGGCTTTACCACTTCTTGTCACCATGGGCATTATCAATAGAAAGGGCATATAAAGCATGAATGTCATGCACAGGTCAACCCAATGGGTTGTTCTGAGCAGACCTGTTGGGTCAACACCCATTAAGTGAAGGTCAAGCCAAAGTGTGTCAGTCCGCTTA